GTATCACCTAATATATGAAGTCTAAATACAAGGCCAATTAATTAACAAATATGAAGGATTCTAGCAAATAAATCTCCATTCTGTTTGCTATTATAGATCAACACTGATATGGTTTCCATGCCTTGATGAAGTCTTATTCAGGCCACTATATCTGTGTAAATTTGTTTCCCACATGGCATGTTGTCATGGTACATTTTGTACTAAGTGGGTACATTACTGGTAGCTATGCATGTTTCCTTTGGAATGTCTAGTGCAGCTTTTATGGTGTAGTTGTCTGTTGATGAGTGTGGATGTGTGTGGAACCGTGGATGTGTTTGTGCATATGTGCATGTGAACAGCAGTTGGAAAAGTGTTCTGGTGATGAAATGACTATCTACAATTGGTAGAAAATTGTCAACCATACTTGTTACTGTGCTCTGCTTATTTGCAGTGCCTGCTTTTGAGTACAGCCCTCTAAAAAGTGCATGCATTTGATTGCTTTCTTTCAGTGTCCAGGTCTGTTTTGTTGCACAGAAATTGGCCTGTTGAACATAAAGTTGAATGTATGCTATTCTTCTTACTGAAATTCCACAGTTGGAGCTTATTCTTGGTCAAGCTGTGAGTTATTGCTTGAAACTAATTTGCCTCAAGTACTACCTCCCTTTTGATATTAATCCTAGATTTCACGTACTCCCCATTAATAAAGGCATAATCTGAAATTATAATCTACAGAGTTCTCCGGCTCCTTATGTGACCTGACACAATGTTTTAATTCAGTGGCACTTCAGTGCAGAGTAGCACAAAGTCAATTCTAACCGGATATCCTTAAATAGAGATTTTAGAACACGCAGATCTTACAGAGATGTTAGGCTAACCTGTTAACATAGACACATTGCAAAGACGGTGCAAGGTTTACCAACCTGACACAGACTTTCCTGTTCTGCTCATGCATTCCTGCCTTACATGATTGCAGTGGGTGTGGTCTGAGAGACTTTGGCTGCTGGCGGCCTAGAACATGTATGAATTTTATTGTTTGTAGATTATTCAAGAAGCATCAGAATGATATAGTAAATGTAGCACATGTATTGAAGTAACCCTTGGTATCAAACACGGTGTTCAGTTTGGGAAACATAACTGCTAAGGTCAAACGGTCATTGAAATATACTTTTTCTCTTCCTCCTGCTCACGAAACCTTGCCAACACAATGTTGCTTATGATTTAAATGTCTGAAAAAATGTTTACATCATACACTGATACTATTTAATCTTAAGGTATTCGTATGTCTTAGAAATAATAAAACTGAAGACTAGTTTATCAAGAATTAACTTCTTTGCTGTGGTGAAGACATGCACTGGGAGAATACAGTATGCTGTGTACAGTATTTAACAATTCCATTTGTTATGAATAGTTGATAAGTGTATAGTCTTTAAAAAGAAAGCAAAATAAAATGACTTATTTATGAACCTGTTTCATTCTGTTTCTTGAATCTGTCAAGCCTAAACTCTCAACTCAGCTGTTTGGCCTGTTTTATTACCCACACACCCTCATGCTGTGCCTTATTGTCACTGGCCTCTATCCAGAGAAAGAAGAGTGACTTACAATGGCCGACTGACAGGTGAACAGTATATTGCCTTCCTCTTCCTGGTTATGACTGCTTAGATGCTCTGTGGCAGCCAGCTTTGCACCCACAGGTTTTTAAGCACTAAACAATGTTGCAAGGGTTTGATTCTTGACTTGAGTCCATGTGGTTAGGCATGGAGCCGAAACCACAATGAGCCACAAAGAGCATTACAGGTCAAATAATTACTAAATAAACTGCAATTCAAGTATCCACTATGACCTCCCAGCAAGGCAGTGACCATATCTATGGGTTTGTTGTGCTAATAGAAATTGATTTTACATTATCATGTTAATGGCACTAAAGACAGCTGTTTGAACATTGTAGGCCTCCTGCTAACCCTTTCACCTGGTTCACAAAGGGGCGCTGCTAGGCGACAGCATGTGTAGTGACAATAGTAACTAAAGACAGGCGGCTCATTTTAAATGTCTCTTTGGGTCAAGAAAGTGCCAGATGAATTAAGTCAAGTCAACTTGAGTTTATTTATATAGTACATTTTAAAACAACAAATATTGACCAATGCGATTAAATAAAACATAGGAATAATCAAAACAAAAATACAACAATTAATAAAAGAAACATAGAATATCTTGATAAACCCATAACACAACCATTACTGGATGTTAACAAGGCGTGGTTTGAAATTAGTTTCTGGATAAATAAAAGCTAAAACACATCAATGCCCTGCTGTGGCACTAAAAATCCATGTTGTGCTCCAAGCCAGAACTCTGACATGTGACTTGCTTAGACTCCACTTTCACCATTTCCTTGACTTTTGACTTGACTTGACTTTGACTTGTGAAACTTCTTTTAAATCCAACTTGGCTAAAAAGAAACAAGGGGTCATCACGATTCTCTGTGAAATTCATTTACTTTGTGTCCCTGTTTCAGTCCCTGTGGCTGTTTCAGTCTTTCTTTGCCCCAATTTGCTAACACAACTAGAGTCTTAAACTTAAATTTGCCATTGGGTTTTGGCCCTTGGGTTCAGTTCAGGCATTGAGTATGTGGTACTTAACATCCAGTTTTAGCAGCTCAACAAAATCAAATATATTTTTGGCCTCAGTTAATTAGATAAACGTCCTTGGTTGGCACTGCTGATAGATTAACAAGTGGAACAAACTAATGATAAGAATTATTACAGTAATTATGATGACTGCCTCATTAATTGCTATTTAGTCTCTGCTGATTAGTTTGCAGTTGTTTGAGTGGAAAAGAGCATATTTATTATTTGTGTCTGGCTCTTAATACATGTCTGCAATGCTTCCATATATCTAAACTTTATAAAGAATACTGAAATACTAGATTTGGCTTTACAGATGTACAATCAAAATTTGATAAGCAAAGAAACTGATCAAGCAAATTACATCAAATCCTGCTATAAAGTTAAAAAGAACAAAAAAGGTATGCAAAGTAGTAGCAAAACATATTTGACAGTTTATGCAGATATGGTTATTACAGAGGTAGATCTAATTCTAAAGTCCAAATATTTAATTTGAATATTAATCAGCTACTGTTATACTTCTACACACACACAACAAAAGAGTAATATATAAAGTGGTTAAATACAACGTTTGTCTTCAATAGTAATGCACTGTAAAACATGGCTATGGAGGCAACAGTCAACAGTCAAAATATCTTCCTCCGCAGGAGGTTAGAGTTCTGTATATTTTGTTCTGAAATATTGAACAACATAATCTTCCAAGTTTAAGGCAATTCACACCAAATCCAATTTCTAACTAATTTATAAAACATCTGCAATTTTATTCTAAATCTAACTGATATTTAATCAAATACATTTTCTCATAAAATTGTGGCCATTTTTAGGCAATGTATTGTGCTTCACTGTGAGTGAAAAGGGTATTAAAAAGGGTATTAAAACTGAATCATGCTTGTTTTTAGCTTTAGCAAGAAAATTCATATCTGCAATCTTCAAGAGGAAAGAGAAGAAGAGTTTGTAGGCTTATTGCAGAGTATTCTGATTCTCATCCCACTTTCCAAACAAACAATAATTAATATGATTAAATATAACCCTAACCCTAAGCATAAACATAATTAATTATGTTGTATGCATTGAGTTTTTGTTTTGGTATAACTTTTCTTATCATTTGCTGTGAGAGGTGGACAGAGTTGTAAATATTTAACTTAGACTGAAGTGCTGCTGGTTAAATTTTACTCACAGTTAGAGTACTTCTAAAGAAAATATAGTACATCAAGTGAAGGTACAGAAATTGATCACTAGGTGGATACAAATAGTCACCAATTGTTTAGATGAAAATACTTGAACTGTGAACTGTGCATTGCTGTTGTGGACCAGCTGCAGGGATTTTGAAATATAGTGGCACAGTTTTTTTTTAAAAAGGTACCACATTAGTGGACTTTTACAGTACTAATAAAGCAAGTATTAGGCCTACCTGATGCTGACAGCGCACAGCTACAATTCTGAACACTGCTGAGGTTTTAAACTCCCTCTTTCTCTGTGCCTCTCTTCACATACAGTGCAAAGGAAAAACATCATTAAAATGAGTGTGCCTATGCCATCTAGTGACAGCATATTGTACTGACTGACGGCTGAAACATTACCTACAGAGGCTTAAGGTGGATAACCAACGTGATTTACAATAATGGACAGAAATACAGAAGCTATAGATGCTTACTTTTTTTTAAAACAGCACCAAAGACAAAGTAGCATATTTCATGGCCATTGTATAGTATTGCATAAATTGGATAGTTGTTGTGCATGGTGGTCCGGTGGATTGCGCTCGCCTCACAGCAAATGTGACAAATGACTATCACATGTGAAATATAAGAAGTGGCACATTGATGATACTGAAAACAGTATCTCAAAATCAACTTGCTCCAAAAACCCCATATCAACACTGATAAAAACTACACTTATCAAAGCCACCTTATAAATATTTAAATCTCATTGTTGCTGTAGGCCTACTCTTGGTTCCTATTGCAAGTGAATTCAGAGGCCTTTCTATATTTTTCAAATTAATTTGTGCAATCTTAGTAAATGTAGATGTACAATGCTTGATGCAAAAGCCACCAGGTCAAAATCTAAGGTGTTAACAACATAACAGCATATTCCTTTATGATGAAAACAACAATGCTGAAACAACCCCTGGGCAAGAGTTTCAGGAAAGGATGGAATTAAATGTTTGTATAGTTTTTTAGACCTTGTGTTTTTCAGTACTACAGGGAGCATTTCTCATTGACAAAAAATAAAATATAAAAAACTAAAAGATTTCAGTGTAGCATCATGTAGTCTTTCAAATTAGTTTGAAATTTCACAGAAACTTTTTGGCAAAAACAAATGACTGTATGATGTGAATTAATTAACAACACTGGAGTCTGAAGTGACATTTCATTTTTATATGGGGGCACAGTAGATTATATTTATATAAATAAATGTTCAATTAATATTATAACAACAAATTACTAGTATATTATTGTATAAATTATATATGTGCAATACATGGTTGATAGCTCATATAGATTCAGATATCAGATATCATTTTCAACATGGAAAACACTGTAATTAAAACATTTTCCAGTGTGTAGCCGTCATCTAGGGTTGATGTTTGAAACCTCTGGACTTTTTGATGTGACCTGGAAATACACAAGGATTATGTATTAATATTGCCATCTCAATTATAATTTGGCCTTGTACTCCAGAAGATTTTCATAGGTACTGTATGTAATACCAAAAAGGTAAACAATACCTGCAATCGAGTTTCAACATTTTGTAGACGAGGTCTAAAACCCTGTGATGTTTAAGAGCCTGCAAATCCCAAGTTGTGATCTCCTGGGAAAAAGAGCAAGATAATGTCGAACCTGCTAATCTTCCTTGCTGATACATTGTTTACTGAATTTTCTTAAATAGATCAGTGATTACTTAAAAGAAAACAGACCAGGACTGACCTGCAACAGAGAAGTCAAAGAAATCTTCCTCAAAAGCAGACAGTCTTCTGTTGTAAGAGAACTTTTTTTGTTAATGATCATTAGTTATAGTCATTGACTGCATTTTGGGCAACTTTGACAATGAAGATACACAATTCTGTGCATCATTGATGATATCAAAAATTTTGCTCTGTAATGGAAACCCATTGTCTGTTTCTGGCCATAAGGAATGACATGACTCATAGAGCTGGTGCTGGCTAGACTCATGCTCATAGGTTGTGGCCACAAGAGTCAATGTGGGAATGTAGTAGTGCACCTAGGTTGAAGGCCACGTAAATTATGTTAATATAGACGTTGTACGAGCAAACATAATAGACATTGTTACAACCATGTTTGGCTTACCTACAGGTAGGCTTGGTAAATGTTATTGAAACATTCTCCATGTTGCAGTAATCATTGTTTTGCAAGGTCCAACACACTGCCATTCACCATTGCTAATCTCAGCAGTGTAATAGCAAACTGAGAGCAGTTAACAAATGTTGTGATATCTCGATAAAAAAGAATGTACTTATCATTTCGTACAATTATACAAAATAATACAAAAATATAAATATTTTGACAAATGTAGAATGAGAAATTTGCAATAAATCAAATATGCATGTTTGATTGACATAGACTACACTTACTTTTAATCACAGGTGTTAGTTGACTGCATTTAACTCCATTTGTGGTGAGCGTTGATGGCGGGATGCTATTTCAGTTGTTCTGTGTGTGTCATTGTTGTAGCAGATAAGATTGTTGCTCTGTGACTGAGGACACCATTGTAGATGTTTCCTGGCTAGTTAATGGATGTTGAGATGTTCTCGTACTGCTTGGTGTTGTTTCAGTTTCATGCTCAGGAGATGTTTGTGTGAAATGAGTTGTCATGGTGGGAATGTAGAGTGCGAACTTGGTGGCAGTTCCGTATTTGTGGTGGAACTGATTGTTGTTGAATGATCATTGTTAGTAGTCATTGTCACTCCATTTGTGGTGAGCGTTGATGGCGGGATGCTATTTCAGTTGTTCCTGTGTGTGTCATTGTTGTAGCAGATGAAGATTGTTGCTCTGTGGATGACGACGATGTTGTAGATGTTTCCTGGCTAGTTAATGGATGTTGAGATGTTCTCGTACTGCTTGGTGTTGTTTCAGTTTCATGCTCAGGAGATGTTTGTGTGAAATGAGTTGTCATTGGTGGGAATGTAGAGTGCGAACTTGGTGGCAGTTCCGTATTTGGTGGAACTGATGTTGTTGAATGATCATTGTTAGTAGTCATTGTCACTCCATTTGTGGTGAGCGTTGATGGCGGTGATGCTATTTCAGTTGTTCCTGGTGTGTCATTGTTGTAGCAGATGAAGATTGTTGCTCTGTGGATGACGACGATGTTGTAGATTTTCCTGGCTAGTTAATGGATGTTGAGATGTTCTCGTACTTTGGTGTTGTTTCAGTTTCATGCTCAGGAATGTTTGTGTGAAATGAGTTGTCATGGTGGGAATGTAGAGTGCGAACTTGGTGGCAGTTCCGTATTGTGGTGGAACTGATTGTTGTTGAATGATCATTGTTAGTAGTCATTGTCACTCCATTTGTGTGAGCGTTGATGGCGGTGATGCTATTTCAGTTGTTCCTGTGTGTCATTGTTGTAGCAGATGAAGATTGTTGCTCTGTGGATGAGACGATTGTAGATGTTTCCTGGCTAGTTAATGGATGTTGAGATGTTCTCGTACTGCTTGGTGTTGTTTCAGTTTCATGCTCAGGAGATGTTTGTGTGAAATGAGTTGTCAATGGTGGAATGTAGAGTGCGAACTTGGTGGCAGTTCCGTATTTGTGGTGGAACTGATTGTTGTTGAATGATCATTGTAGTAGTCATTGTCACTCCATTTGTGGTGAGCGTTGATGGCGGTGATGCTATTTCAGTTGTTCCTGTGTGTCATTGTTGTAGCAGATGAAGATTGTTGCTCTGTGGATGACGACGATGTTGTAGATGTTTCCTGGCTAGTTAATGGATGTTGAGATGTTCTCGTACTGCTTGGTGTTGTTTCAGTTTCATGCTCAGGAGATGTTTGTGTGAAATGAGTTGTCATTGGTGGGAAGTAGAGTGCGAACTTGGTGGCAGTTCCGTATTTGTGGTGGAACTGATTGTTGTTGAATGATCATTGTTAGTAGTCATTGTCACTCCATTTGTGGTGAGCGTTGATGGCGGGGATGCTATTTCAGTTGTTCCTGTGTGTGTCATTGTTGTAGCAGATGAAGATTGTTGCTCTGTGGAGACGACGATGTTGTAGATGTTTCCTGGCTAGTTAATGGATGTTGAGATGTTCTCGTACTGCTTGGTGTTGTTTCAGTTTCATGCTCAGGAGATGTTTGTGTGAAATGAGTTGTCAATGGTGGGAATGTAGAGTGCGAACTTGGTGGCAGTTCCGTATTTGTGGTGGAACTGATTGTTGTTGAATGATCATTGTAGTAGTCATTGTCACTCCATTTGTGGTGAGCGTTGATGGCGGTGATGCTATTTCAGGTTCCTGTGTGTGTCATTGTTGTAGCAGATGAAGATTGTTGCTCTGTGGATGACGGGTTGTAGATGTTTCCTGGCTAGTTAATGGATGTTGAGATGTTCTCGTACTGCTTGGTGTTGTTTCAGTTTCATGCTCAGGAGATGTTTGTGTGAAATGAGTTGTCATTGGTGGGAATGTAGAGTGCGAACTTGGTGGCAGTTCCGTATTTGTGGTGGAACTGATTGTTGTTGAATGATCATTGTTAGTAGTCATTGTCACTCCATTTGTGGTGAGCGTTGATGGCGGGATGCTATTTCAGTTGTTCCTGTGTGTGTCATTGTTGTAGCAGATGAAGATTGTTGCTCTGTGGATGACGACGATGTTGTAGATGTTTCCTGGCTAGTTAATGGATGTTGAGATGTTCTCGTACTGCTTGGTGTTGTTTCAGTTTCATGCTCAGGAGATGTTTGTGTGAAATGAGTTGTCATGGTGGGAATGTAGAGTGCGAACTTGGTGGCAGTTCCGTATTTGTGGTGGAACTGATTGTTGTTGAATGATCATTGTTAGTAGTCATTGTCACTCCATTTGTGGTGAGCGTTGATGGCGGGATGCTATTTCAGTTGTTCCTGTGTGTGTCATTGTTGTAGCAGATGAAGATTGTTGCTCTGTGATGACGACGATGTTGTAGATGTTTCCTGGCTAGTTAATGGATGTTGAGATGTTCTCATACTGCTTGGTGTTGTTTCAGTTTCATGCTCAGGAGATGTTTGTGTGAAATGAGTTGTCATGGTGGGAATGTAGAGTGCGAACTTGGTGGCAGTTCCGTATTTGTGGTGGAACTGATTGTTGTTGAATGATCATTGTTGTAGTCATTGTCACTCCATTTGTGGTGAGCGTTGATGGCGGGGATGCTATTTCAGTTGTTCCTGTGTGTCATTGTTGTAGCAGATGAAGATTGTTGCTCTGTGGATGACGACGATGTTGTAGATGTTTCCTGGCTAGTTAATGGATGTTGAGATGTTCTCGTACTGCTTGGTGTTGTTTCAGTTTCATGCTCAGGAGATGTTTGTGTGAAATGAGTTGTCATTGGTGGGAATGTAGAGTGCGAACTTGGTGGCAGTTCCGTATTTGTGGTGGAACTGATTGTTGTTGAATGATCATTGTTGTAGTCATTGTCACTCCATTTGTGGTGAGCGTTGATGGCGGGATGCTATTTCAGTTGTTCCTGTGTGTGTCATTGTTGTAGCAGATGAAGATTGTTGCTCTGTGGATGACGACGATGTTGTAGATGTTTCCTGGCTAGTTAATGGATGTTGAGATGTTCTCGTACTGCTTGTGTTGTTTTCAGTTTCATGCTCAGGAGATGTTTGTGTGAAATGAGTTGTCAATGGTGGGAATGTAGAGTGCGAACTTGGTGGCAGTTCCGTATTTGTGGTGGAACTGATTGTTGTTGAATGATCATTGTTAGTAGTCATTGTCTCCATTTGTGGTGAGCGTTGATGGCGGGGATGCTATTTCAGTTGTTCCTGTGTGTGTCATTGTTGTAGCAGATGAAGATTGTTGCTCTGTGGATGACGACGATGTTGTAGATGTTTCCTGGCTAGTTAATGGATGTTGAGATGTTCTCGTACTGCTTGGTGTTGTTTCAGTTTCATGCTCAGGATGTTTGTGTGAAATGAGTTGTCATGGTGGGAAAGTAGAGTGCGAACTTGGTGGCAGTTCCGTATTTGTGGTGGAACTGATTGTTGTTGAATGATCATTGTTAGTAGTCATTGTCACTCCATTTGTGGTGAGCGTTGATGGCGGGATGCTATTTCAGTTGTTCCTGTGTGTGTCATTGTTGTAGCAGATGAAGATTGTTGCTCTGTGATGAGACACCATTGTAGATTTCCTGGCTAGTTAATGGATGTTGAGATGTTCTCGTACTGCTTGGTGTTGTTTCAGTTTCATGCTCAGGAGATGTTTGTGTGAAATGAGTTGTCATGGTGGGAATGTAGAGTGCGAACTTGGTGGCAGTTCCGTATTTGTGGTGGAACTGATTGTTGTTGAATGATCATTGTTAGTAGTCATTGTCACTCCATTTGTGGTGAACGTTGATGGCGGGGATGCTATTTCAGTTGTTCCTGTGTGTGTCATTGTTGTAGCAGATGAAGATTGTTGCTCTGTGGATGACGACGATGTTGTAGATGTTTCCTGGCTAGTTAATGGATGTTGAGATGTTCTCGTACTGCTTGGTGTTGTTTCAGTTTCATGCTCAGGAGATGTTTGTGTGAAATGAGTTGTCATTGGTGGGAATGTAGAGTGCGAACTTGGTGGCAGTTCCGTATTTGTGGTGGAACTGATTGTTGTTGAATGATCATTGTTAGTAGTCATTGTCACTCCATTTGTGGTGAGCGTTGATGGCGGGGATGCTATTTCAGTTGTTCCTGTGTGTGTCATTGTTGTAGCAGATGAAGATTGTTGCTCTGTGATGACACGATGTTGTAGATGTTTCCTGGCTAGTTAATGGATGTTGAGATGTTCTCGTACTGCTTGGTGTTGTTTCAGTTTCATGCTCAGG